GATTGCCCTGAGATGCACTCCGCTGCTCTCATTTGCGATGCTATTGTGTTCCTGTTTGGTTTTGTTTCCGACTTGTGTAAACTAGATTTGTTCATAAACAGGGAATAATAGTCAAACCCTCTTACCACAAAAAGTTAACACGCGTTGAACACTTCTTTAAATTGTATTTTTTTAAATATTAGAAATATGTAAGTACAAATTACTAATAATCCCGTTAACCCCTCGTGGTACTTAATATTGTATGGAGATGTCATTTTGAACTAGTGTTCAACGCCCGCCTTTTTTTACGGTAAGGACCAAAATGTCTAGAAAACTATGTCTAAAGCCTGGTCCGTGAGCACGTAGAATTTTGTCCAATGACCCCAAGCTACCCATTCTTATTGCTCGCGCGTAATTATGTTGCTATCGCGCTCGCACACTCACTGCGGGTGCCAGTCGCACAGTCGCGAAAGCAATATAATTACGCGCGAGCGATAAGGATGGGTAGCTTGGGGTCATTGGACAAAATTCTACGTGCTCACGGACCAGGCTTTAACAAACAACACGCAAGTCGAAGCGACACTCCGATTCTTTAAAACATAAACTGCATACAAAATTCAGACATTACAATAATGTAGGTAAATTATTTAAGTAATGTATTTTAACAGTAGCTGGCAGGAAATCCAGCCATTTTTAATGTTGTCTTTGAATGTAAAAACAATTATTTTTTGAGCATCTTCCGCATTGAGTGAGTCAGAACGCGGCAGAAATAACTGAGCTATAATCCTCGCCATCTTAATAACCACCCCGAGCCAGCCACCTGAATTATCACACAATGTGTGCATGCAAATATGATATTATTATCTTTTATATCTAGATAATAAGACAATAGCCACGAATAACAGCGTTTCCTGTGTTTGTAAAATGGTTTTCACCTTGGAGGAAAATTAAAATGGCATTAATCATATTAATGAACAAACTTGTTTGTTATCTGCAATATTTCCAACTATTGTTCGGTGTAATCGTTATTTTATTGCCTAAAATACTGAAGGTTGAAGATAGTTCACAGAGCGCCCGAAGAACTATGTCTAGATTTTTTTTATGTCAAATAATGATAGTTATTTTACCTACAACACAAAATTATTATTTAACTACATTACGATTACGAATGCCATTTTTATTTTTAACTATGATAATTATGCACCTATATTGGAATTTGTTTATGTAAGAGCATTGTATTGACTTTGATGCTTACATAAATATGAATAAATAAATTATACCTTTAACTAACGAGCGACAATACATTACAAGTAACAAGAAGTTGGTAGTTATAATCTTTTTCCGGCATTTCCGTGTCGACTTTGCCCCATTTAATTACCTAATGAGAGCTTTAGTTTTGTTGCCATCTGCTTATTACACGTCCATTGTCTCACCTTTATCTATTTTGTGATGTACAATTAACGTCTCTCGTATAAAGGTTTTTATGGTGAAAGTGCCCTGATCAGTGAGATTATCTGGAAGATCGCGAACAGAGGTTAGAGATGATTTGTTTATGTCAACATGATTTCAGTCTCATGACGAGTTCTTGCTGTAATTATGAGTTTTTACTGTTATAAAACTAAACTAAGTAGGTAGGTACCAGTTATGTAACACAGTCATTAATAGTCGTCCGAAACAGTAGGTATTATTTAATTGTACTGTAAAACCCCAAACGTAATAATACTTTTTGTATAAAACGCCATTCTACTCGTAATTTTCTATTATTGATCGTAAATCTTCAAATGAAGTGTTACATCCCTAAAACCAGTTGGTTAAAAAAAAATTTGCGCAGCGAATCACACGACCTAGATACATTTTTTCAAATATCACTTAGGTCATTGGAGCTTAGTCTTCGATATGCATATACTGAATGAATTAGTTAAAAAATTTCAAGAATGAAATTCATACTTTTAGTTAGAATGTAGAACTTCATTATCCATAGCTTAAGTGTATCGACTCAATGCAAGTTTCCTAAGCCTCTTCTTCCCGGTCCATTGTTTCTGATTGCATGGCCAGACAAAAGCCCCCTCTTTGTATTGATAGAGACTCCCCACGCTTTCAATTTCTCTGACAAATTAATACAGCATGCAGGTAACTTGTCCCTCGCAGGAGGGTGAATTCTTCAGCAATTGCAACACTATAGAACCAATCTTAACAATTAGGAATAATGACTATTCAAAATTTCGCAATAACACAAATGTTGACCAACCACGGCTACCACAAATCTTACCTGCATAGGTTCCATATAGTCGCAGATGATCACTGCCCCTGCGACAATCAAACTCCTCAAACATGGAACCACCTTATAACACAATGCCCACGATTCGCGTCTAAACGCCTAGATCATGAATCCATCTCTCACGCACAAAATCTGAACCCATATAGTCTAATAGAAATCATTAAAAAACACGAAACCAGCAACAGCTTCCACACATTCATCCATTATATAGTAAGCCATCTCAAAGAATTCAATAAATAATAATTAACACTAAATAGCCCGGAAAGATAAACACTGCCTTGCTCTCGGAGTAACCCATTAGCTCCGATAGTAAGTGCAAACCGATAGCACTTCAACAAAAAAAAAATCATAAACTTTATTTATATGACATAACCACCAAATAAAGCTTAGATTAGATAAATATACTATCTAACTAGGCCTACTTCGCCTACATAAACTTCGATAAATAATTAATAATGTTATATTGTAAAATTTTGTCACACTATTCACCCCTTCACTCCTACGTAGTTCGGACCCGCAACCATCCCAGTCAGGCAGCCGAACAAATGCTGACTGTCATTGACGTTTTTCTTATAAGTATACATAGGTATATTGAATTATAATAAATTGATCGTAAGTAGGTAGGAACATGTATCTGCCCACGTTTTCTTAAACAAATAAATTTTTCATGTGTGTTGAGTTTGATAAAACATTTCGAAAAACATTTGCATAAGTCAGTTAAAGTTCATCTTATTTGGTATATTATATTCCAATTATGAAGTGCTACCAGAATATACTCCTTTCCGAGTCAATCTGTAGGTTGAGGTCAACCTACGTATTGGCCTATTGCAGAATAAAGTTATATGTATACTATTAATATGAATAAATCTTATATTGTGATAGGAGAATATTGTCCCCCATACAATGAAATGATCTCCTTCGTTATATTGTACATGTACATATTGAAAATTATGTTTTAAAAAGTTATGGTAACATTACATATAGTAGAAAGATAGTAGTGTTAAACTAAGTAGGTAAGTAGCAAGAAATTTCTTTTCAAATAATTAAACAAGTTTATCCAAACCTAGTCATCATCATCATCATTTCAGCCATAGGACGTCCACTGCTGAACATAGGCCTCTCCCAATGATTTCTACAAAGGCCGGTAGGTAGCGGCCTGCATCCATCCTAATAATTTAACCACGTTCGGAACAATACTTAAGTTACTTAACCCTTCCTGTGGCCTTGGTGGGAATCGAACCCAGAACCTACATTCAATTAAGAATATTTTAGTTTGGTTGGATATTGTATGATTTAACATAATTCTTGTAAAATGTTTTCAGATGTTACCATTACCGGAAAAATCATTATTATAATAGGGCAGTTTTAAAATGAAGTAGTACGAGGGTTGGAAGTAGGAGCCTCCAGACTGCAATACGAGTATCATGAAATTACAAACCTAAGGTAATTTTCTTAGAAAATATAATATGTATAACGGTATAGAAAAGCCATGTGTCTCGTAAGGATGCAGTGCAATTCATCTCAATTAACATCGTCATGTTATAAATTCATAAAACTGGAAATTCTTAGTTCATTTTAGTTCAGCAGGGCAGACCCCAGTGCATTTTCTTAGTGTTAATTTTATTGTTCATAAAAAAGTTATACCGACTTCCATACTTACGTGTACCTATTGTTTCTATACTTACAATGAAATAGTTGGTGTCATCATAACACTTTTAAGTTATATCACAGAATAATAATAAGTACGTACAGAAGTTTTACTTCGCGAAGGTATTTAAAAAAATGTATGCTCAATGTCATTAGCAATATGGTATAATTTAGCCTGTCTCAAGAGTCAAGCACCATTTTGTTGACAAACGTCAGTGATCGGCACTGCGCCGAAGCTATAGGGCTGGCTTCGGTAAAATGAGTGATGAATGAGTAAATGGTGCCAAACTACGGAAAATGGCGGAGGAAATACATGATTTAGCATGAATAATATTAACTACTTATTTACCTCTCAGTGTGTTGAGGCAACTTAAAAATATTATTATTTAGGCAGTTAAATACTGCACAGTATTTAGTACACCATTTTCTTTATTTTCTTCCATCCATCATACACAAGAATTCGCGTGCGTGAGTCAATGTTCGCTCGTATGTGAGGTCTTGTCGAATAGTATCCTGTAGGTGGGCCATCGTGCGTGTTTTGTTTTCGATGTAAACTCGCGGAGATGAACAGGCCTGGTTATATCCCGTACCGGGGCTAAGATCTCCCGTACCTACCTCGCGTTCAGTCCTGTAATCCTGTTGGGCCTAAAACCTAAGGAAACTGGTCTGTAATCCTAAATTACCTACATCAATATAATTTTTAGCTTTTGTAGGAAAACCTGGAATCTTCCCTATATTCCTTATTTCAATAGATGTATATAACTTACGTGATAAATCAAAGTACTATATTAATTTATATTTTTTGTAAAAGAAAAAGCGTCATAAACTCGTAGTACCTACCTATTAGTTGTGAATGCAGTTTCAATGTAATATCATCACGTGGAGTTACTACTATAGCATGCAACTCACACGCATTCAATGTCATTGACATCTCAATGGTGTAATAATACGTCATAAAGTTTCACAGCTAAAACAGTTACTGATGTGCTACCTACCAATATTTAAAAATAGGAGTTATAAGACTGATTCATTGATTAATTAAAAAGCTAAAGAATAAAATAAAAAACGATTTATTCTTAACTGATATATTTTTGTCATTAATAATCTGACACAACATAATAAAAATAAAAAACAAACTTGTACTTACAAAAACCTGGATATGAGCACCTCCACAGACTCATACCCGTTCTTTGAGCCTCATCAATTCTGGATCAACAATAAATGTCAAAGTGCACAGTTATTCTTTGAGAAAAAAAAATACTTTGACAGTTATTTTTAATACAGTTTCATTAGTAATTAAAAAACATTTTCGTATAAGATCGAACAACATAAAAAAAGAAAATTTGATTTTCAATTACTAGAGATTTCTTAAAAACACAACAACACAAAAACGCTTAAGTTATTGTCATTTCCGACAAAATATAAGCATTTTAGAGCCTAACTAAATCTTTGTAGCCTGTTGAGTTTGAAATAAGTAATGTAATGATTTTGTCCGGTACTGAATTTTCCTTTTACTTTGGTAATCTTAATACTTATTTCAAATCAAGTTGACTTAAGAAATACTATAAACATACAAATAATAGCTGCATGACGTTCCATTATTTGACTGTTTTTAAAAAGAAACAAAATATGGGTTAGGATGTGAACACCCAATATTATGGACGAATAATATAAAACAATTTGGTAAATGGTAATGTTCACTTCCTGTGGCGCACGCAAAGCCAAATACATTTCGCGCTTGCAATTTAAAATTTAAACTCGATTCAACAATCGCTGGAAGCCAAAAGCATTCGCCTTCGCGTACGCCCAATTATTCTATTTAATTAGTTTTACTTACCAATCCAATACATAAGACTGGTGTCGTGAGTATTTACTTAATATATTTACAACTCTTTGTATCTTTCGGTAACAATTATTTAACAAATGACTATGACCAAAACTGTTACTCCTACATATATGTACAGAATTTTGTCATGGACAGGACGTATTCAGTCCCAGCCGTGGTGTTCATGGTGTTCGTGGTGTACCGGCACCCAGACTTTTTGCCAGACGGGTTTCCAGACCTTTTTCCACGCCGGTACTTCTATCGTCTTCCAAACAGGTACTTGGATTTGTTTCCATTTTTCTACCCATATTTTCTTCTGGACAGGTACCCAAACTTCCTTCTTAACAATCTTCCAGATTTGGACTTTCTCTTCGATCCACTCTTGTTTCTTTTCAGTTACCCAAGCTTGCTTCTTTTCTGTCCTCCAGATCTGCTTCCATTCCTCTTTCCATTCCAGTTTCTTCTCTGTTACCCATTCCTGTTTGTGCTGAGTCTTCCATATCTTCTTCCATACAGGCTTCCAGATCATTTTCTTCTTCCATAAGTCGTGGCTAGTGTATTCCCAGCCATGTTCGTCCTTTCCTAGGTACTTTTCCCCGGGAATTCCTTCCTTGACCCAGGCAGGAACGTATGACTGTTTCCATTCGGGTACTTGTATGGTTTTGGTGACAGGCACTTGAATTTCTTTCCACACTGGTTTCCATACTTTCTTCCAGTCTGGTACTTGAACTTCCTTCCATATCGGGACTTGGACTTCCTTCCAGATTGGTTTCTGCACTACTTTCCAGGCGGGTACTTTTTCTTCTTTCCATTGCTGGACTTGTTCTGTTTTCCAAGCTGGTACTTTTTCTTTCTTCCATTCAGTTTTCCAAATTAGTTTCTTTTCTGTTTTCCAAATCTGTTTCCATTCTTCTTTCCAGACGAGCTTTTTCTTCCAAACTCCTTCTGGTGGTGGTGAGTGCCAGCCCCCTGGTGACCGTTTCTCTCTGGAGAGTTCGGTGTCCTTTTCCACATCTTGTATGGGTACAGCTAGTGATGCTGCGAATGCGAGCACCACCCACAACTGAAATAAAAAAAAAATTACAAATCAAGAATTGTCATAACTATTTAAAATGGGTTATTAAGTCGAACAAACATAAACCAACTAATATTTGCCTACAATGACATACATTTTCAGGTTAGATTGTTCTTAATAAGATTCTTTTCTCTCGAATGAAGTCATAAATTTTATTTTAATAATATTTGTATATTTTTTATATCCACCATTAGTTTAATAATTTAATAAGTAATGGACAGGAAATAAAGCGTATTTAAATAAATGATACGCCGAAATGATCAAAGTACAGCAGACGTGTGCTGACTTTAAAACAACCTTTTTTTCTAATAGTTAAATTGTACCGAAACTTTGTTTCAAAATATTATTTGTTAAAGTATGTTTATTTTTGTTTAATTAAATTAATAGATGATGAATTAAATTAATAGATGATATTAATACGTGATCAACTTAACTGACGAAAAACTGATCTGATAACGTCTGAATGGCAACCGCAACGGTTTGCGTGCGCGTTACATTACATTTAAATAAACAAGTTGACTTTAAGTTAGAAAATAACACTTTTTTTTATTAGAAAACTGTAGCAACATTAAACACGCACGAAATTTTTAAGTAGTAAATTAATTTACATTGCATTGTATTAATTTAATTTAATTCAAAATCGAATATCGATCTATAGTTAATAAAAAAAAGTTTTTGAGAAAGAGATCCGCGTTTTAATTTTCTGACACTAACACTGCAAATATCTAACACGGGTTTAAGTATCGTCCTTGGTCACTTAAAAAAAATCACAACACAACACACACAGCACACCCACCGTAAAAGTCAGCGTCCTCATTTTGGAATGGAGGTGTCCGCCGCGACTGTGGAGGCTGCGCCGGCGCTGTCTTTTATTAATGGGCCCCTCTCTCGAGCGCAGGACCCGCGCGTCATAGTTCGTGACGTGACGCGTCGTGACGCCGTGCACCGGTGCACTATGACATGACATAATGACTAGCATTTCCGCTATGCCAAATATTGGCTTGATAATTAGCTATGATGCTTCATTGTGTATACCATCAGATACTCGTACCACAAGGCACTTTACATAATTAATTTCATTTTATTTTCTTCTAAATAGTCGGTGACCACTCTAGTCATGTCAATCGTCTGCTTAGGTTGCCATATAATTTTTAAAATACTTATTTTTGGATAAAATACAGTAGGTAGGTATGTACGAGTACTTTGTTCTCTTTTCTGCAACATGACTTTTTCTTTCATTTGCGTACTCATCTCCTGTTTCAGAAGTTCAAACTAAGACATTCATATCAAAATACAGAAAAAGCTCTTGATGTATCAATTGTTTCATATTTCATTAAAGTAATTTTCTTTAATTGGATTGAGGACTTTTTATATGTCATCTAATTGCACAAGAAAGTTATTAAAGCATGATAGGTTGATATGAGTACAGCATCAGCATCTGTGATTATTTTATAATTGTAACTCTCTACAAAACCGTTTCGAATTCAGTTTGCGTTCAGCTCAAGATGATATAGAAATGTAAGGGTTCGGAAATTTTATTAAAGTTTGATTCCAACGTTCGCAAGGTATCAGTTCCGTTCTGCGGAAGCAATATCTCCAGTTACCCCCGAGTCCGTTGTGATACCGAAGTGTACTGAGTTTACAATTTCTGAGTGTTGCATCCGAGATAACGATATCGAAGCCATATTACTCGTAATAAATACGCAAATTGTTGCTGTCACGTGATATTGCTATTATTTGCTATGTTTACATTACGTATGTTTGAAAATTGAGAAACCGTAGAGTTTTCCGAGTTCTTCCAATGAATCTATTAGGAATATCAACAGCTTACAGATTTCAATGTAACAAGGTGAACGATTTAACTTCCTTTCTTCACCTTTCTTAGTTTCATTTTAGATATTCAAGAGCGAGCAAACAATATCTACAGAATAAAAGATATATGAACATTCCGTGATGATAATATTTACCTATTTATTTTACTTACTCTTAATTCTACGCATCCTTTTTTATTACACATCAGTAATAAAATTGAATTTTATTTACAGCTTCGTCCAACCAATGTGTGATTGAAAACTCGTCAACACTTGACAGTAAATTTTACTTGTAAGCCTCGTACTCGTTAAATTTTATTAACGATAATCGTATCGGTTGCCCGTTGTTATAGGTACAACTTTTACGAGTTTAATTTATTTTATTACTGCTTTTTAATTATTAACTCCTAGAAGGAGTGGGTTATCAACCGCTGTTTCGATGGGTCACGCACGCGCCGCGACCCAATAAGGTTTGGTAAGTGAACCTTTTTAAAAATCTTTAAGTTATGACTATTAACATCTTGAGCCCAATAAATATCTTGTTATCTGTGTTAGTACGGTTTAGACTAAACTATTTATTTTTTATAATTATCACGGCAATAACATTATAAAAAAGCTTTTCTTGTTATTTATTTCCTCGGAAACTCAATTATTGTTTGTTCAAATGTGAACACACGGTGAACTCTCGAATCGAATCAATTGCATACCAAAGATATTAGTGCTAATACGAGTAGACATTTCTTCATAAAACAGTCGTGTTAAATGATTTTATTCCAAAACGGGATACCTATTTAACTTAGAAACAGTATTTAGAATTACATTCCGCCGTTTTTATATAACCACACATTTCATTACTGTAACAGATGTTAATCTGGAAAAACAAATAATAACTGTTCGTAACAGAAAGCTCTCCCGATTTTTCAGGTTAATCCCATTCCGGGAATATTCGAGCAATATCTTACGAGAGCAGATCTGCAATACCCTTGACATTGTTCACGTCAGGCTATGTAGGCCAGCCTCCCATAGGTCACGAATTCAATTTTCAGCGAGAAACAACTCGACCGGAATGAAGGTGTAGTGCAACGGTGTGTAATCGCACACATCTTCAGACCTATTATTACCATATTTACGAGTTTACATTACCTTAACGGAGTCTGCTTAAGCTGGTTGTAATTATTATTGATGATCGGAATGTAGGTAGCATACATACAAGATTTTACGATTGCTTACTTGAAACTTGATAGATAAGATTATGTTTCGAGAATCCTGATGATTGATTTTAATAATAAAAGCATTTGATTCAAAATTTAGAAATGTATTACAAAATTCTTCTCTCTTGTAAGCTGCAAGTGCTGCAACAGCCCCAAATATACTGATATTTATACAATGCAAAGTATGGCACGCTCATAATGACTGCTTTATGAGCGTGCCATACTTTGCACTGTAATGCTCAGAATAAAATCTACCTTTTCAGTTTCAGAACTCATGACAAGAGAATCCAACTACTAGATCATGGTGGCATTTATTTGTAACCTGTCAAACCACAGTTTATATGTAAGCTGCAAGTAGGCGTCTTGACTTATGGTCCTATGTCCCCTAGATGGGGCAGAGGATGTGCAAGTAGGCGTACATCAAGCGTTTAATGACGAAAACACGTATAATACGCTTCACGCCGGACAGTAGCACGTATAGTATAACAGAACAACCCTGCAATGACGTTTGCAGGCCGATACCTTGATAACGTAGTTTCGTGCCATATCGAAGCCCTTGGTCCCAAGCATTAGCCGTAATATACAAACGATCGACAACCATGTCAAGTTCACAACGACGCGTACGCAGAATACGTTTCCGCTGAACTACTGTCACACGTGTGTCGCAACCCCAGTCTAGGGTGTCACTTGAATATTCAGCGGTTCACGCAATAAACGACCTTCAAATATTCAAAGTCTAACATTTAGAATTAATTACACCACATACGGTATTACAGCTACTAAGTGACCATTACGAACCGCGTAGAGAAAGTAATTAGCACACCGATAAAATATAGTACAAGTTTTACAAAACAATAAAACTTGTATTATTGAGCAGAGACGATGCACAGCATCTGGTGAGAGAGATGCGTCTACTTCCGGTGTAGTTTTTTACCATTTTATACCTTAAATGACGTCATTTCCGCAATTATTTAATAGGAATTGATTTGACTTACTTCCGTTTGCCGCCATTTTAGTCACCTGGGGGCGAGCTTGCTCGGAGTTCTTCATAGAGGGCTCACCAGGAGGCCTTCTTGGGATGCTGTGCATCGTCTCTGCTCAATAATACAAGTTTTATTGTTTTGTAAAACTTGTACTATTATTCGGCATGTGACGATGCACAGCATCTGGTGAGAGACTTGTTTATTAGCTCCTGGTGACTACTTACCAATGGCGCTATGTGATGAAAGTTTTCGAGTTTCTGTAACAGAACTAGATTAGAACATGATTAATTTCAGGGTATTAACATGTTTTGTTCTAAATGCCCAGTGAGAGCAGCACTTATATCACAAAGTAGGAGGGTTTGTACTTTTGTATGTTTGAAATGAATAAACTGGAAAGCTACTGAACTGAATTCAGAAATTCTTTCCTCATTAAAATGCAGATGTAGGTAGTCAATGAATAAAATTCCTCCACAATCCCAAAAATAGTGGCTATGAGCTTGGGTGTCGATCGCTCCACTTTGAATTTCCGCGGCGGCGTTTTCCCTTTTCAATCCATTGCATTGACTCTTGTTTTGACTCTAAATCGTACGGCTGAATTTATTATTTATCAATAGTGACAATGTGAGAAAAAAAAATGTTAGGATTATGGCCAAAGATGTCCTAAAACTCCTGCGAAGTTGTGACTCGACGCTGTTTGTCGAGTGGCGTGAGCATTTTTGACACTCATCGCGCAAACCCCTTTTTCATGTGCGAATGAGTATGAAAAATATTGCCGATACGTTCCTTGCTAATGCCTATGGCTTCAGCTATCTGTCACAGCTTAATTCGCGGATCTCTAGAGCAAGATTCTTTAACTTTTCATTATTTTATTCGTTAATGGCGAAATCTGGCCGCCCTGACTTGCGGTCATCTTTTAGCGACTCCCTGCCATGATTGAATTATCGGATTCAATCTTTCATGGTGGCAAATGAAGGCCCAGACTCCCCATAAACTGTTGACATCTCTTCAAATATTACCGTCAGCGTTTTGTTCTTCTTTGTGAGGCATTTTATGACAACCGTGTACTTCAATTTCGTACATTGCGCGGATGACTGAGACATGATGATGTTTACGGATTAATTACTAAAAGCGTGATGATGCTAATAAAATGAAACTTTGTACATATACTAAGGAGGTTATTGGCAAATTAATAAAATTTAGTGCGAGTCAATAATAACACTTGAAGATACTTAGGCTCAAAACTTTTCAGCCGCCCCTCGTATTTTAATCGAATTCCATGAGTGCGGCGCCCTTATTCAAGTTTGGATATTAATTCATGTATGTCATTGAATAATAATTAAAATTGGGTGAATCCATACTGGGACTCTGCCAAAGCACGGTTTCGGTTCCTGGACAATACAAATCTTTTTAATTTCTGTCTGTCTTGGTCTTGTGGTATTTATTTAAGTATAATTTACGAGTATGTTTTACAAAAAAGATTTTAATACCATTTAAACAAAATGTACGTAATACGAAGTGATAAATAAAAGCCGCGAATGTCGCGATTGGTTGTCCCGTAGCATCCAAAGCGCGCCGACAGTCAATATAAGTTTTATTTCTTAAAAAAAGATAAAGCGGTCAATTGATACAGATGGGGACATATCTTACAGGTACGATTTATCCCATGCTGTGATGCATTCAATAATCACATGTTACATCATAATGATGCCGCCTGTGGATTCTGATGAAAACTCGTATTTCACAGTAATTTGTTTTTGATCGTTAGATTTGCAAATATCACATCGTCTGCAGGTTTAGTAATATCCGTAAAACAGAAAGTCTACAGCTGTTATTATAGTACTTATAGTTTTCCAATTTTCGATTTACATAGGTAATTACCCA